CACTGTCGATTTTTTCCATAATTTGGGCACTTTACAGAATGAAAATATATTAGAATCAGTAAGTTTAATGAGAAACAAGCTTACTTTCTCTCCCAATTTACAGAAAATTCGAGTAGCTTCAATTCTCGCGAGAATTACCGATTTTTGCACACGTGCGCTCAGAAAACAGTGGATGCTAGAAAAATGTATATGCTACAGTTTTTCGTGTCTTTTTTTTTTTTCTCTATCATCTGATGGAAACAGTTTTCTATTCAGATAATTAGTTTTCGAGTTAATTAAGAAAAAAGTACGAGAAATTAAGAAAACATTGTTTAAAAAAAAACTACGCCTTCCGGTTTCCTGCGAATTCCCGAAAAATTATGGCAGATTTCGCCGCGGGACTTTTATTTGAGAGCCAACAAAAAAATACGCAACTTCTCTCATGGGCACATATGTCTAACATTTATAATTTCGCCACAAATTCATCGCAAATTTCATGTCCATGGTTCTGATCAAAAAAAACGAAAAAAACACTTTTTGGTAAAAGCACTTCTGGCGGCGAGAAATTCGCCATTAAAACTACCTGTGCAATGAATTTCCGAACTATTTTTGCCTCTTCTTTCGAATGGTGCATTTATTTTCACTATCGGAATGATACTTGCCCAGATAATTAGCATTTTTACAATGGAAAATTCCGGAAAACCCGGTTTTTCCTAATTTAAAAAAAAATTGAAAAACTGCTACATCTTTTTTTTCTTTTTTTCGGAAAGATCACATCAAAATACACAAGGTCCTTTTTGTTTCATCCAATTACAAATTAATGTAAGCTCGAAGGGGCTTTTTTCGTTATTTAATTGGAGTATTAATCAATGAAAACATATGTAAAGACATGCAAATTTTAAGTCGATTTTTCTCGAAAACGGTTGGTCATGGAGACTTCAGATAAGAGCACCATTTTTGTGTGAAAATTACGAATTTTTTTAAATTTCATTTCAAAAGGGCGATTTTTCGAAAGACAAAAAAAAATTGAATAAAAATATTTAATACCCCACCCAAACGAGCCGCTTATGACTACATTAAAAAAATCTTATTTACGAAATTGATTGCTTAGATTCAAATAAACAAATGTACAGAATAATATCAATAAATAAAAATCCGGTTTGAATGTATTTCAATGAAACCGATTTTAGAGCGCTATTTTCAAAGAGCTCTAGCTGCCTTAGGAAGCATTTTTGGATTAAAGTAATCTATGCTAAATCATCATGAAACCAGCTCTAGATTTCGTGGTTTCATTCTTTGAAGAGTGTTTCTATATAAAATAGTCCGGAGATCGTATGCTCGATAAGAACAGAAACCCATTTTTGACTAAAATTTTAAACTTCTAAATGCAAGAAAATGTATTGCTATTTATAGATAAGTACAGGGGAGGGGATGAACAACATGTAATATGTCTTCGTGGTGAGAGCGGTCATGTGACCTGTGAAATTCAGTGTAAAATTATATATCGATGGATTTTTTTCGTTTTTTGCTGGCAATGTAATTATGCTTCTAGGCAATAAAAAAATCCCTTTGCAAGTATTTTCTGTTGTCTGATTTTGCTACTTCCGGTGTAGGGATTTCGGCAACGTGACTGAATTTTTACGTTTTTTAGAAGAAATTTGGGATTAATCTTAAACGCGTTTTTTCTGAATGTAAGATGATATTATATTGCAAGCAATTTTTTGTGACGGGTGAAAAGGTTGATATGCAAAAAAATGTAACCTTAAAATAGGTGTTTTCATTTATTATTTCCTAGGTTTTTTTATAGTTTAAAATGACTTCATTTAGTTTATTCATATAATAATTAGTTTTTGTTGAATTTATTAATCTATCATCTAAAAATATGAGGTCACTCATGTATATTAAAAAGTACACAGATAATCCCCTAATATTAAACTATATCAACAACTACAGAATATTGTATCGGAAAATCACCAAATCTGCTAAGAAAAACTATTACAAAAATCGCATCGCAAGAGCTAAAAACTCCTCCAAAGAAACCTGGTCTATAATAAATGACTTAAGGAATAAAACCCGTTCTTCAAACAGTGTAAATCCTAGCCCAGATGAACTAAACAATTATTTCGTAAATGTAAGTAAAAATATCAAATCTAACATAGCTCTGAGTCAGGATGCTCTCTCCTTCCTCCTACCTACTAAAAGGATCACTGAAAGTTTCTTCCTAAGACCAGTAGACAAGCATGAACTAGTGCAAACCATAAACAACATCCAAAATAAATTTTCCTGTGGAATTGATGGCCTGTCCACCAAAATATTTCTAAATATACCGGATGTAGTAATCAACATTTTAACTTCACTGATTAATGAATCCTTTGAAATTGGTCTCTTTCCTAACTGTCTAAAAACAGCTATAATAATCCCACTTCATAAAGGTGGCGACAAAACCAAAACCTGTAACTATAGACCTATCGCGTTATTGCCTACCTTATCGAAGATAGTAGAACGGCTAATGAAAAACCGTCTTTTGCCCTTTCTTTTCAAGCATAACATCCTCACAGCTCATCAGTATGGCTTTCTACCTAAAAAATGCACTAGCGACGCAATGTTTTCCGTTCTTAATGAAATATACACATCACTTAATGATAAACTTTTCACCGCTTCAGTATTTTGTGACTTCGCAAAGGCCTTCGATTGTGTAAATCATGATATTTTAATTTATAAGTTACAAATTTATGGCATACGGGGTTCTCCTTTACAATGGTTTAAAACTTACCTAGAAAATAGAAATCAACAGGTGCGGGCGAATGGTGAGGATTCTACAAATCTAGCAATAAGCAGTGGAGTACCTCAAGGATCAGTATTAGGTCCAATTTTGTTTTTATTATTCATCAACGACATCACAAACTTAAGAATAAGTGGTAGAATTACTTTATTTGCTGATGACACCAGTGTAACCTGGAATAATTCTAACATGCAGACATTACAATCTATCATAAGTGAAGAATCTAGTGACTATTAAGTCATGGTCTGATTCGAATGGACTTTGTTTCAACACCAGTAAAACTGTAGCATTGTCTTACAGAGGTACTTTACAACCTATAACTTTAAACAATAATCTGATCCAAACGGTGACTTCAATCAAGTTTTTAGGTCTTTATATAGACGATTCTCTAAAATGGTCTGCTCATATAGATACCTTAGCAAAAAAATTATCCTCCGCATGTTTTGCCATTAAATCGGTTTCTAAAGAGCTGACTCCTTCTACTGCATTAATAACCTACTTTTCCTTATTCGAATCTCACCTTCGCTATGGTTTACCTTTCTGGGGTTCTTGTAGCTTATACCTTTTCGAATCTATTTTTAAACTGCAAAAAAGAGCAATCCGCTATGTATTTGGTTTAAGTAGTAGGACACATTGCGAAAATTACTTCAAAAATTTCAAAATTCTAACCCTTCCTGCTCTATTTATTTTTGAATCCGTCTGCTTAGTTCGCAAGCACATTCAAAATTTATCCGAAAGACCGACTCATAGATATCCTACAAGAAATTTAGAGACTGATGTTTATTTAACAATGCCCACTTCTGACCTATTAAAACATTCCATTACCTACAATGCCAAAAAATTGTATAATAACCTTCCGATGCAATTAAAATCTATAAATACATACGATAAGTTCCGAAGACTGGCTAAAGCTTTTCTTCTAGAAAGATCATATTACACAGTAGCAGAATTTTATAACGTACCTTAGACATTTGAGTTCCACATACAATGGCATTAATTAAATAATTAAATATTAAAGTTTAAATTTAAATTTAAAAATTAAATTAGAATAATTATAATGACGGATATTGCATATCCATTGCAATTGTTATTCCTATTTTGTCTGTTTGTTTCTGTTTGTTTTTTCTGCTGTTTAGTTATTTTTATAATATGTTTAGTATTTAAGTTACACGCTTTGTCTATAAAATTTTTGTAAATTTTTTTACGACAATAAAGCATATCTCTCTCTCTCTCTCTCTCTATTTAAAAAAATACTACCTATTGTATTCTTCTTTAGTGGAAATATTATTTTTATTATTTAAAACTTTCTTTTTTAATAAATCTCGTTTTCCAATTATGTTTTTATTATTAAATCTTCTAACGAATCTTCATCTTCAAGAATTTTGTTGAATTTTTCATAAAGTAAGTTAGTCGCTTTTTGTGGATCTTGACACTCATACAACTCATCCCAATTTATAATTTTCATTTTATCCTTAACTAGTGTTTCATTTATTTTAATAATTTCCATATAACGAGTTTTTTAGCAGAACAGCTACTATTATTAAATCCAATATATCTAACTCCTCTTAATTTAAAATAGAGAAAGTTTTAAGATATATTAAAATGTTAAAAATACAATACACAAATAAGGTTAAAACGGTAGAAAAAAATATGGAAACAATAATAAAAGTAGTAAAATTAAAATAAATTACACGTCGTATTATATAAAATTCAATAAAAGAAAATTGTTAAAAAAAATATTGATATGGAAACACCCAGTATATGTATTTCCAAAAATATTCTAAAACTACTAAATCTCAAAACTGGGCGGGTTCAAAATCTAGAAAATTTATAAATTTTGTACAAAAAAAATAAAAATAATTAAAAATTAGTTGAATAAAAAAAAATCTTCTGTTTCTCTGCCCTGGCTGCTCTGCTCCTGCTCCTACTGTTGGTTCTCCGACCTGCTCTGACTGCTCTGCTCCTGCTATTGCTTTTGTCCTGCTACTGCTTATCCGCCTTTCCCTGTCTTTGGCTATCTCTGATTGTCTCTATTTCCAATTTACTTTTCTGTGCTTTAGGAGTTTATAAATAAAATTTTCTTTACCTTTCTTTTTTTATGTTTTCTTTATTTCAACTTTGAAATATAACATTCAGCTTATATCTTTAATACAATTGCATATTCTTATTAATTTCCCATTTGACTTATCTATAAATTTTCTAATGACAATCTATCATCTTAAAAATCAAAAAAACAACATCCTTGATAATTTTACAATAATATTTTTCTAGACTCTAAATCGTCCAGCTTTGCTAACTTTAATTTTGACATTTTAATTTTAAATTTCGTTATCTGGGAATTTCCCTTATCAAATCCCCCAAATTTAGTGTTTACGTATTACTACTTTTAAATATAATATTAAACACAAAATTTCCAAATAATTATCTTTAAATTATCCAAATAACCAATAAATACCCAATCTCAAATATATTAATTTTAAATTTTTAAACCTTTTATCAATTTAAATTGTTGATTTTTCTATTTTTAAAACCTTCGAATTTATACTATTACTATTGTAACTATACATACAACTAACACAATACAACACTCAAACGTATCAACACTAACAACATAGAAAACATTTAACACACATATCTATATAAATCTTGTATATGAAAAATTTCTCTTATTCCTTTATTGTTCATATATTTTAATATATAACTATTTTCCCCTTTCTATTAATTTTTCATTTATAATTGACGCTTTAGAACCTGTATCTACTAAAAGATTTGTATTTTTATCCCCCATTTTTCCCTTTAAATAAACTAACTCCGATTCTCCCATTTCCTGATTTATATGTTCCCCCAAATTTACAAATTCCCTTTCTCGTTGTCCACTACAAATGGCCCTTCAAACGGAAACACCAGTCTGACACATATCCTTTTTTTATTATTAGATATTCTTAGTGCTCTAACAATTACTAAATCCATTGATCTATCTATCTCTATTTTATTAATTCTACCTATTCAATTTTCAAATTCACAGATGATTTTAAATTTCCCTTTCGTCCCCCAACTAAATTTTACTACTTTCCTTTCACCTTCGTCCTCACTCTTTCTTTTTCTGTTAATCTTCATTATCTTCCCCAATTCTTTCCTACATTTTATTTTCGTTTTCGTTTGTTTTATATCTTCAATTTTTTTTTTAAATTAACTTTAATTTTTAGACTTTTATATTTCTTTTTTCTTCCACCGTTTTGTTTCCTGTTTTTCTCTATCTTATTTCTTGCTTTCTTTCTGAATTCTTTTCCATTTATTCTTATTATCTTGCCTTTTATTTTCTCCTTTATTTTGTTTCCTAATTTGCTTTATTTTCTTTCTCAACCTTTTTTGTGATTTTTCAATTTTGAGTTTACTTTTAACAATATCAACACTTTGTTTAATGACATTTATTTTTCGTTTTAATTTCATTTCTTGATCCTTCTTCTCTTGAGAAGATTTATTTTCTATATATTCTAGATTTGATATCCTTTTTCCCTGATCCTCTGCCTCCGATATTATCTTTTCTATATCGGTAGATATTTTTTCTTGTGCTATTTTAAATTTCTTATTTTGTTCATTTTCTACTTCATCAATTGTTCCTATCACTTCTATTCTTACATTTTTCTTCATTTCTTCAATTTTTATATCTGTTTTCACTTCTAATTCTTCAAATTTCTTCATTAGTTCTTCTTTATCTTGTTTCCTGTTTTCTTTCATATTATCCAATTTATTAAATATTTTCATAAACATTGTTTCATTGTCTTTCTTCATTTCCACAGTGTTTTTCTTTATTTCCATAAACATTATTTCATTGTTTTTCTTAATTTCCATAGTGTTTTTCTTTAGCTCCATAGACATTGTTTCATTGTTTTTCTTCATTTCCATACACATTGTTTCACTGTTTTTCTTCATTTCCATTATTATTGCCGCAAACATGCTCCTTAAAACTCTCTCATCTTCCTTCTTACCTCCATCTTCCTTTTGTTGCTGCCCTGATTCTTTTTTTTTTCATGCCTGTATTATCTAAATCTCCTTGTCCTACTTGTTGTAAATTCTCTTCCTCGTTTCCTGCATTGTCTTCCATTGTTCCAAGCTTCTTTCCTCCTCGCAAATCCATATACTTTTTACACTTTCAAAAAAAATTTTTCTAACACTTTTAACCAAACTTTAACTTGTCTATATAAATTTGCTTATCCGCCTTTCCCTGTCTTTGGCTATCTCTGATTGTCTCTATTTCCAATTTACTTTTCTGTGCTTTAGGAGTTTATAAATAAAATTTTCTTTACCTTTCTTTTTTCATGTTTTCTTTATTTCAACTTTGAAATATAACATTCAGCTTATATCTTTAATACAATTGCATATTCTTATTAATTTCCCATTTGACTTATCTATAAATTTTCTAATGACAATCTATCATCTTAGAAATCAAAAAAACAACATCCTTGATAATTTTACAATATCTTTCTAGACTCTAAATCGTCCAGCTTTGCTAACTTCAATTTTGACATTTTAATTTTAAATTTCGTTATCTGGGAATTTCCCTTATCAATATACAGGGTGGCCACTTTTTCATTGAAATGTATTGCTATCTCGTAAACCGTTGGTAACACAAAGTTGGTTAAATGGGGAAAAAGTTGCATATTTCGAAGTCCAATCTAAGGGCGTTTTGAAAACTAAAATATCAGGTCCGGTTTCCGAGATATTCGATAAAAAACAAATAAGTACCATTTCTTTATTCCGCTACAGAACGTTTATTTGCAAAAATAGACAAAAACTCATTTGGAGTTTTTTGTTTTATATCAAATTGTGCGTATGATAGCGTATTTAGTTTTTTTATCCGACGTTTTGTAAATGCAGGACCACCATCAACTTCTTTATTTGAATATGGACCAATATTTTCCTGGCTCATAATTTTAATGCATGTTCAATGTTGAATACAATGATGTAATAACATATTGTGATTAGTCAACATTTCGGAAGATTTGAACATCATCAGGTAAGTTTACAAGTACGGACCTGTGTTTTGTTAGTTAAAAATATTTGAATTAGTAAATGATGTATTTATTATCAGTGTAAGAAATCAGGTACGTTTACTTGTACAGACCTGTATTATAAATTATTTGAAATACACAACTACATTTTAAATGCTTAAAATAATTTAATAAAAAAAAATATGTATTTAACTACTTAATCACGTCAGAAACAAATAAATGAAAACAATGATTAACGATAAGAGAAAAACTACAGTAGTTGCTCAAAATGTCCTCCTTCTTCTTGAATACATAAGTCAATACGGTCTGTCATTTGAGCTATGCTGGCAGAAACCATTTGTGGAGTGATATTATTAAACGCATTAATTATCCTATCTCGTAATTGATTTAAGTCATTTGGAATACCATCATAATATACTTTATTTTTGATATATCCCCATACAAAATAATCCATAGGATTTAAGCAGGGTGACCTAGGGGGCCATCGAATAGGTCCATGTGTACCAAACCACCTCCTGGGAAATCTTTCGTTTAAATAATTTCTGATTAATGCAGCATTATGTGGCCCACAGCCATCTTGCATAAAATAAAAATTTTTTCGATCACCTAAAGGAAGATTATCTAACATATCTTCTAGCAATTGTAAATAGTTGTGTTGGTTGAGGTTTCCGTCAATAAAAATAGGACCAATTATTTTATTATTGAGTATTCCACACCATAAGTTTATTGAAAATCTAATTTGGGGTCTTACTTCTTGAATTAAATGTGGGTTATCGGTGGCATAAAAATGTTTATTTTTTCTATTAAATATTCCACTATTAGTAAATGTCGATTCATCTGTCCATAAAATTCGTCCATGAAAGGATACATCATTATTTAATTTTCGTTTATACCGACGGCAAAATTCTATTCTACGATTATAATCTCCAGGATGTATCTTTTGTAGAGTTTGGAATTTGTAATCATGGTACTTATGTTTTTTAAGAATGTTTTTCACAGTACTTGCAGAAACTCCACATTCTCGGCTTATTGCTCTAGACGACGTTTCAGGGTTGATATAAACTTGAGACAAAACATTTATTTCATTTATTGTATTACGTTTTAAATATTTACCACGTTTTTTTTCAATATTTCCTTCGTGAGCCATATTTAACGCTATCCTATAATAAATTAATAAAGATGGTTGCCTCCTTCCTGGATACAACTGAAGGTATCTTTCTGCAGCTTCTCCACTATTTCTGTTACATTTTATGTACACATCGTACATATCTTTTTTCTCACTTCTACTGTAACGAACCATATTTTCAATACCCTAATTAAAAATATACCAATGCTTTTATCCGATACCAGACTGTCAAATATACAATAATAAAATGTGACATGCCAGGTTAACTTGATTTAAATTTATCTGTATAATAATCAAGACGTGTTGCTAGATATACAATTATTATTGTAAGTAGGTATCTATCTGCAGTTTGTTAACTTTTTCTTTTTTATACTATGAGGAACCATATCAGTTTAAAAAATCCAACAAAACATGACAAATCAGGCTAACTTTATGTATTTAAAAATCGGGATGTACTTTATTTATAGATTAATATTGGGATTGGTCAAGTGCAAAAACCATAAAAATGGAAAATATTTTTTAGCAAATGTGTAAACGAACATGTTGTCTTGATGTAAAGTTAAAAGTTTGACTTTGGTATTTATTATTTATAATCTCTTACAACGATAATACATCATTTACTAATTCAAATATTTTTAACTAACAAAACACAGGTCCGTACTTGTAAACTAACCTAATGATGTTCAAATCTTCCGAAATGTTGACTAATCACAATATGTTATTACATCATTGTATTCAACATTGAACATGCATTAAAATTATGAGCCAGGAAAATATTGGTCCATATTCAAATAAAGAAGTTGATGGTGGTCCTGCATTTACGAAACGTCGGATAAAAAGACTAAATACGCTATCATACGCACAATTTGATATAAAACAAAAAACTCCAAGTGAGTTTTTGTCTATTTTTGCAAATAAACGTTCTGTAGCGGAATAAAGAAATGGTACTTATTTGTTTTTTATCGAATATCTCGGAAACCGGACCTGATATTTTAGTTTTCAAAACGCCCTCAGATTGGACTTCGAAATATGCAACTTTTTCCCCATTTAACCAACTTTGTGTTACCAACGGTTTACGAGATAGCAATACATTTCAATGAAAAAGTGGTCACCCTGTATATAAAATATTCGGAGATCTTATGCTCGATAAGAACAGGAACCCAATTTGGAATTTAGCTTAAACGCATTTTTTTCTGATTGTAAGATGATATTATATTGCAAACAATTTTTTGTGACAGGTACAAGGGTTGATATGCAAAAAAAATGTAACCTTGAAACAGGTGTAAAATCTAAAAGTGGTTTAATTGCTCTTAAAATGTTTGTTTTACTCTCAACTAAGAGTATTGCTTTAGCAAGCATTTTTTATTCAGTAATTCTACCCCATTCGTCATAAATTAGACTATTTTCACTATTTGTTTAATCCAGTGTGAATAGAAGGTTAAATGATTGTGAGATGTGTTTCATTATTTTCTTGTATTAGTTGTAGGGGTTGTAACGTAACGTAAATATGATTCCACGTGATTTAGATACCAACAGTCAAAGTAATTTTTCGAGAACTTTAAAAAACTGCGTTTCTTAAGACGTCTTTATAACACATAAAGCATAATTATTTACTACATAATTTAATTAACTATTTTTACAAATTTTCTATGCTTTGTGAGAAACTAATAATACGAATTTTCCGCATTTTAGTTATTGATCGATACGATTTAATAGAAACCGTGTCAGATTAATCCATACATAATACAAGTTTCGAAACGATCAATAGCAAGGCTGAGACTAAGCCTTGCAGTGAGATAAGGTCGCGCGGACGAATTGTTCGGAAGAAAGTTTGAGGTTATGTAAGTCGAGAATTTATAATGCATTCCGGTTATACAAACAAACAAATGATATACATCTTTCTTACTGGCGTCACGGGTTATATCACCGCTGAATCGTTCTTTTTTATTTTTATAATAAGTTATACAATTATTGTAAAAGTTGTATTTTTCAGTCAAATACTTTATATACAAAGTTTCTTTTAAACATGCGGCAAAAATACCAAATTATAAATAAAAGAGGTAGTTTATACAGGGGCGGCTCAAAGACAGCCCTAGGCCCACCTATATGCGTTTTATGTACAATAACTACTCGTAGTTTTGTTAATATGTTAAGTCCAGGACGGACGAGTTGCTCTAGAAATTATTTAAAAAAATTGTAATTAACTCGTTAACTAAGAAAGATACAAAGTTCATTTCGCTATAAAAAAATTTAAAAATTCATAGTTTTTGATTTTAAGATCGATAAAGCAAATTTCTTTATGTCAAAAAAAATACGGGGGGTTTAAAAGGTACCCAACCCCCAACTTTTTTTAAAGGGGTCGCTTTTTTTTCTCCTTAGAATATTGGGCCTTCAAATCTACAGCACTGGCAAAAAATTCAAAGAAAAAACGCAACAGCAAATTATTTACAAAATTTTAATGTTAGTTTAACTTTGTTAGAAGCCAGTTTTCGATATAGGTAAATATAGCCAAATCCACTTATTTTTTGATAATCTATCTGAGGAAGAATTTATGACGTACCTTTTTGAAACACCCTGTATAACGGGTTGTAAAATGAATGAATGAGTATCCATAAGTTTTTCGGCACCGTTACATAAAAACGAAAATGATATACCAAAATATAGTGGTTCTACTATTTATATCTCCCAATAGCAAGTGGTTTTACTATTTCAATCTCTCACAACAACCATAGAAGCATCGCATTCTAGATAATAAAAAATATTGTGACTTTCAAGTTTCTAAACTATTATTTGATTGATTAATATTAAAACCTTTATCATATTCAAGGTTGTATAATGGAGTTTGAAACAAGGCAGTTAGATCTCAATAAACTAAAATTTTTAGGAAAGCTGATTTAACTTTAATAGAATAACAAAGTAAATATTGTGGGAAAAATTACTCAATAACGTTTGGGTTTTCATAAAAATCCTGTTATTAAACTTAAAACATTTATATTAAATTAGAAAACGGCACTAATAAATAATAAATAAAAAAAGCTATTTAATAAAACAAAAATACAAATTTAGTTTTTTAAATTTTCATTATAGTCTATTTTTATGTATGAGAGAGTAATAAAACAGCATTTCTAATGCAAAACTTAGTACTGTCATTTTAAATATTTATACAGAATAATCTAAATATTTCCTAAAATTGTAATAAATGTACCTGAGCTATTACAAGTTTTGGGTCTTTTACTGGTCCTTTATAAACATAAGCTATACAAAATAATAGAAAAAGGTTTAGACAGGCCAAAACCCCTGTGTATTAAAGATTATACATAGCCGTATCTTAAGATTATTTTTAATAAGTACCTATTTGCCAATTTTGTTTTATTTTAATTCCAAGAATTTCTTACAGTAATCGAATTATAAGTAGATAAATACTTTCCTAACAAATTTCACCGAAAATACGATTATAGGTTTTCCATTTAGTAAGGAGGTCCAAGTTGTGTATTCTTAAAAGTTTACTAAATGTCGTTTAGTTGCAACTTGCAAGGTGCACTGTAAATTCTAGTGTGATCATGAAAAATTTGGAAAGGCCGCGTAAACGACAAGAAATCGGTCCTTTAACGGTTAATGAATAAG